AGTAGTTTAAACAAGCAGCAAAAATCTTTTTTGACTGTATTATGAATTCTAAACATAAAAAACATACTGTACATAATAAATATGTGTTTATTTAATGTATTTTTAAAAAGGGAAAGTTCATTTAAAACAATAAATACTAAAATTGTTTAGAATTATTTGACTTTTTTCATTAATAAAATATAAAATAAATATAAATATATTAATAGAAATAGTTTTTGTATAATTAAGAATGTTCATATTTTAAGAAATAAAATCTGTACCAAAAGGACTAAACTAAAAGTTTCCGAGACACTTTTAATGTGACCTTAATATTACAAAGACTTGGAAAAAAGTTTAAATCTGTTCATTTTAATAACGATCAACCCATGGGAAGTAAGTGCCAATAGATGAAGAAACACCCCTATATTGGATGTCTTCAGACTGTGTGTTCACTGGTCTACTGCACGTGACACCGAACAGCAGTGAGACACCTGCAGTCTTGCTTTGATGACAGCAAATGACACACACACACACACACACACTCAGGCTGCTGCTGCACGATAATATATTCTCACTCCCGTTTTTTTTTTCAGTCTGTTAGATCTGCTGTTGATGTGATCTTCTCATGTCCTTTTCAAGTCCTCAGATCTCTTCTAAAATGGACACTTTGATATGTGTTTGACCACAGATCCTATGGACAATCACATCACACAGCTAGCGCATGTGCTCTTATTTCAAACAAAACTACAAAAGACGGAAAATGAAAGAGTTCATCGATGTCAGACGGAAAAAAAAACAGCTGCCATTCTTTCCAGTCCACACCATTTCTGGACTAGAGTTTCTACTCTTAGCACTTGAGTAAAAGCACACAAAAAGTTCCAGCGTTCTCTTGTGAAAAAGATACAAAGAGCGATCGTGCAGGTCTGTGGTAAAAGCACAGGGGTGCATGTGTTACTGTAAGGCACTTCTTTGGATTCACGGCATTACACGTAAACACGACCCAACGCAAAATTTAATCTGCACCTTGCATGTAGATAATCGCAGATAGAAATATTTTCAAAGTAAAACACCAGCTGTGGGTGCCAGCTGTCCACACAGCGTCTGATGGGTGAAGCTGATTAAAGCACAATGGCTTTATTTTACATCTACAACCTGCACTGTCAAGATTTGACCCTAAACCAAACTGTAATTTAAATGTACAGAAATATAAAATAACTTATACAGAAGAATATGCAACACAATGTTGTAAAGTGCTCTAGAAAAGCGTTATATGAATTTTAAGAATTACTATTATTATTAATCTATACATTTGAATATAAAACTACCAATAAAAATAGTCACAGAAGTGTTTCTTCATTGCAAAATATATCTCCATAAACAATTAATTTGTGATTAAATGTCTGCCAAGTTACAAAAAGATATATACAGTAGGTTTATCTCCCATCCGGCACAACTTTAAATGGTTGTAGAGTGGGATTTGTTCCAAGTACAAATGACACATTTACTGAACTGATCGCATTTGTGGTTAAACTGACATCTGTGACCATCAAAAACGACAATCAAAGAGCTGTAAAAACATACATGGCCTGTCATGCACAGCAGCCAGATGGTGTGTTATATTAGCACTGAATTAACATCTTGTGTGTTCTGTCAATGTATGCCTCTGAGGTAAAATCCTGCCACAAACGATAATGTTAGCAAGTTAAAGCTGATTTACATTTGGAGTTACACTATTGTGGCTTTTTATAGTAACAAATTTCTCACTTGAGTGATGTTAGTTCGCACAAAGATAATTTATAGTCTCAATGTTGCTGTAATGTGATACAAGAGCCTCCTGCTATTGAGTTGGTCTTCATTTGTGATTCACAGAGCAGAAGTTTCCCTTTTGAGTTTTGGCCACAGAGGTTACGACAAAATCCCTCCCGTACAGATGTTACCAGCTGTTTTATCTACAGCTTGAGCAGTCACTAAGCAATGAACCACAGATGCAAATATGGTACACAAATATTACGAGCTATTTAAAAGACGCTTAAGGAGTTTCATATATTGCCCACCCATCATACATAAAAGTTGTTATGAAAATGCAAGTATACCAAAACCGGTTTAAAATGTTTTAGGGTCTGATTCAATTTTTAATTTCAGAACAAAACTGATTAATGTGCATAAAGTGTCAAAAAATGTGATGAAAATAACATTTTAATATAATGCTGAAATACTGGTACCTGATCATTAACTGTAACGTTAAAATAAAACACCACAATTTTTCTGATTTTCAATCATTTTCTTTCGGCTTAGTTCCTTTATTTATCAGTGGTCACCACAGCAGAATGAACTGCCAACTTATCCAGCATATGTTTTATGCAGCGGATGCCCTTCCAGCCGCAGCCACGTATTGGGAAACACCTATTTACACTCATTCACACACATACACCTCGGCCAATTTCATTAATTTATTCATTTTTATTTGGCTTTTTTCCTTTATTAATAAGGGGTCGCCACAGCAGAATGACCTGCCAACTTGTCCAGCTTATGTTTAACACAGCTGCTGCCCTTCCAGCCACAACCCAGTACTGGTAAATCCCCATTCATGCACATACACCTAGGCCAATTATATTCATTAATTTTCCTTCGGCTGAATGAACCGCCAACTTATCCAACATATGTTTTATGGCTCATTCAGCGATTTTGTAGCTACCTGTTGCGCTGGGTGACAACCTGCTGCAAACGCAGGTCTGTGTAGGAATATGCAGCATGAATACAACCGGCCTCTGAGCGAGCTGAGAGAGGATCACGTGAGCTCTACTGGTGCTCCTATTGGCTATCGCTCAAGAAAGTCACTCTTCATTTGCATAAAGTTGAAGGATTCTCAACTTTGTCGAGTTGCTTGACATGCCCACCTGGTCGCCAACAGTTGCTGTCACTCGCATAGATGGAGGTTGCAGGAAGTCAATCGTTCTCTGTTGAAACGAATGGTGGCATGTCGCTTTGCCACTGCGAGTCACTGGCAAAATAGTCTAGTTTTTCCTTTTGATATAAGATTATTTTACTTGTTTTAAGGAAAAAATCACTTAATTTTGACATATTATTTCCTAAAACAAGACAATATGTTTTGCTTGTCTAGAAAATAATTCTTTATTTAAGAATTTTTAGATATTTGGACTAGAAACCAGACAAAAAATCTAAATAAAAGCATTTTATGCAGTGTCCACACAGAAAGGCCAACTGACCCTGACTAAAACCAGCTACCTACTTGCTGTAACCATTGAGCCACCGTATGAGCCAGCCCTTATGCTGGCCTATAAAAATAAATAAACATATAAATATATATAAATAAAACTATAATAACGGATTAAACTAAATTGTGTTACATTTTTTGTATGATTTAAAACTCTTGCTGACAATTAAACTACAATTAATAGTTTAATTAACAAATAATAGTATTTTGGGGCTCCTCTGTTATCCTTTATATGCCATGATATGATTATTGTTCAATATTTGACATAATTGTTATGACATATTAACTTACATAAAATTTTATTTGATAAAGTTTCACATTAATCTCAGTGCATGTCATCTGTAAATCAAGGTAATGTGCTCTAATGTAAAATCAGTTTATCATAAAAGTTTCAATTAAATAAATCTGCGCATACTAATGTGTGGAAAATGAACAAAATCTAAAGCTGTATTACACTTTTATTGTTTTGACCCCTTTTGTCTTTGACCCAAATTTGATCAGTTTACAGTGAAGACTCATGATCCTATTTTAAAAGCAGATCACATGTTCGCTGCTTATTTAGTATTCAACACAAACCCCCCGCAAGCTGTATACATTTTTAACAGTGATACAAGGTGAGAGAGCTCAAATGTCATGGTCAGAACACATATTAGTGTTTCCCAGATCTGCATTTATTAACTGACTCTCCTTAACTTGAAATCCCCTGTTCAGCCATAGTCCTACAGGTTTCAGAGTCTGCTTTAAAACAACACAAATAAAAAAAAAACACAAAATGACATTGAGATACAGATGCTTGTATCACCACTGCCAGCATTTGTGACCTGTGTGGTGGCGCAGACGGAATCGGATGTTAATAGTGATGTATTAGTCACACTCCAAACAGTTGTGATTGGACATTAACGGATGAGCTTTTCGCCAACAATCAGCGGTTCAGTCTTATGAATGCTAAGAGGGTCCGAAGTGTCTGTGATAAATAAATCACAATAACATGTAAGACCTTTCGAGAGGGCTCTTGTTTTCCCTTGAGATGAAACCACACACCGACAGCATACCTATGAAGAGATTATCAGAGATGATACCTAAGTGGCGAATATTTCAAGATGTTTTTGAACGCACTTTCAAATATCTCTCTCTTTCTACCATTTGGTTTGAATTATAATGACACATTTAAATAAATAAGCAGATATTATCTATGATAAGCTTCATTTTGACAGTGTCACACATACAGGGAAAATAATTAGCAAGGAAAACAAATCATAAGACAGGCAGATCATCAGTTTGACCTTGGTCAGTCTCCCATCTCCAATATGTATTTAAATACTTGAATACCCTCCAAGCATGATTACAGAGCTCACCAGTATTTGCCACTACTTCACTACACATTCACAGAGTTTAGGATTAAAAACAGGTGTCTTTTAACCCAATTATCCAGGAATGACCCAGTTTTCCTCTTTCTCCTGTCTTAACACAATTTAAATATGTCTGCGAGCAGATTTATGCACGCCCAATGCCTAAAAAAAGTCCCAGAGCAAGGTATGTGTGTCAGAAATCATTCAGGTCTCTGGAATCCCATTCACTCTTGTCAGTTACGCTTTCGAGGACTGTTTCTGCACTCGGTGTGCGAGCAGCCACGAGAGAGAGAGGAAGAGAGCGGCGCTCCACCTGTTAACTACGGCAGCTTTAGCCCGGCAGGCATTCCCCCGCCACGCATGCAAGACCCAGAGACGGAAAGCTGCACAGAGGTCGAGTGTTATCTGTGAATTGAATGAAAGGGAGTTTCTCTTACCTGTGCCGGCTGGATGCATCCGAGCCCGAGCCCAAGCTGTACATTCTTCAGCCGTGCGTCTCCGCCTCCCGCTTGTCTTCTCGCCTTTGCTTCCTCTCACCTCCTTTTTGGCCTTTTCGATCTTTCGCACCGTCTCGCTCTTACTTGTGTGGCAGCTGAAGACCCTGCTGTGGTGATGGCATTTCTCTCCCCTTCTCTCTCTCTCTCGCTCTTCCAGGCAAAGAGGGTCAAACTGGAGATGGTGTCGGTGGAAGAATTAGCGAGAAAAAGAGAGACAAGTGTCCAAAAAAAGAGGAGAAACAGCTGCTTCGCCGGCTCGTGACGCTGATGAGAGACAGCTGGAGAGTTGCAGTTGTGATCTCTGACTGAGGAAAGGTGTGAAGGCAGGTGGGGAGACGCGTGGCGGTGACTCCCGATTGTGCGAGATGGTGTCTTACTTTGTAAATCTCAAAGTAAAAAAGCTCACGTGGATCTTGTTTACCTGTGCCTGAAGTTTGTGTGTGAACCGGAAGCTGGAAAGAAGTACGTTTTTACAAGATTTTTGACATGGAGCAGCCCTTCATTTTCAATCAAACTGCTCATCCGTAGCCTCCGCCTGCTCCATCACGACCAACCTAGTTCCTCAACCTTGGGGAATAATCATGATGAAATGAGAAGGATGCTGGGAAGCTGATTAAAATAGATTCGAATGAAAGATTGGAGCTGTGTGACCTTTTTCGTCTCTGGACTTGTTGGTCTGCTGATTTTGAGGAGGAAGTCCATGAAGATGCTTCTCGATTATTCGAAACCCAGATTGCTTATCTTCTGAATCTTTTGTATCCACAGGTGGGCGTAGACACGGAATCCGAAAAGTTTAGAGCCATTGTCATTTTTGGCTGAGAGGAGCGTGAAACCAATCCGGAGTAAATACATGCGTAGAAGCAAATTCAGAAATGATGTTTGTCCAGTTTGTTGAGCAGATGTGCTGAGCGTCTCATCTGTTTGATGTGATCTGCCTTCTGCTCTCCAGACCACAGAACAAGCTTCTGATACCTAATCATGATGCTGTACAGATTTATCCTGCCTCCCCCTCCTCATTCTCTCATGCTTTTATTCTCTCTCTCTCTCGCTCTCCTCCTCTTTCTCTCTCTCTCTCTCTTTCAATGCTGAGTCCCTTCTCACCCCTGTCCTGTCCTGTTTGTTCTCTCTACCTCTATTACTCCTGCTTCTGTCTGTCTTTTCCCACCGTCTTTGTTATTATCCTCCTGCTTGCAATTTAAATGTTCTTTCATTTCAAGCTATCCTGCTGTCCTGTCGTTCAGACGAGCAGGTCCGACAGACAAGTTCCTTAGTCCTGTTGATTCTCTGTCTCTGACACTTCAAGTGTCCTTCAACCTTGACTGTCCTTCAATTTTATTCTGTTTTGTCAGACGGCTATTGCTAAATCTAGCCACGTCCTCCACACAAATGTTTGTTTTTCATTTCTTTTTTTTTTAGTACTAAGCAAATTACATTGTGTATCCTCTAATCCCAACCCTACCTTTATGCAAACCTCTCTAGCTTTATAGAAGGACATTATTTATTTCTTTAACAAGCTTTCTTCCCATAGGACCATTAGAAATTTTGTTAAAATAAACTGAATATATGAGTTAATATATTTATATTATTTTATAAATATAGTATACAGTTTACATTTTCATATCAGTAAGGTTGTTTTCATGAAATTAATACTTTTACCAAATATGCAATAAACTATCATGATAATGATGAATTTAAAGTCACAGTAAACAATGAATCCTCAAAAAACATCAGTGGCTATGTTTACATGGACATCAGTAATCAAATTATTTGCCTTTATCTGAATAAGACCATAATATGATTAAGGTGTTTACATGAGTTGATGTTTCTTTTATGATCTCGTTTTACATGTTACAGCACTTAATTTGATTAACATCATTGTGTCACATAGCTATCTACATTTCATTTCATCCAGAGTTTCATGTAATTTTGGGTGTTTTTTTTTTTAATTTGTTGACTTTAACTGCAATTTGGCACTCATTCTGGAACATTTCATGCATGCCACCATGACAAATGAGATATTGGATGTGCCTATGAATTGCTGGAAGACTGTAGCTTTAAAGGAATTTGATACCACACACTAGCGCTGGGGCGACGCAGTGGCGCAGTAGGTAGTGCTGTCGCCTCACAGCAAGAAGGTCACTGGGTTGCTGGTTCGAGCCTCGGCTCAGCTGGCGTTTCTGTGTGGAGTTTGCATGTTATCCCTGCGTTCGCGTGGATTTCCTCCCGGTGCTCCGTTTTCCCCCACAGTCCAAAGATTTGCAGTACAGGTGAATTGAGTAAGCTAAATTGTCCGTAGTGTATGAGTGTGTGTGTGAATGAGTGAGTGTGGATGTTTCCCAGAGATGGGTTGTGGCTGGAAGGGCATACGGTGCGTAAAAACGTGCTGGATAAGTTGGCGGTTCATTCTGCTGCGGTGACCCCAGATTAATAAAGGGACTAATCCGACAAGAAAATAAATGAATGACACTAGGGCTGTGCAATTAATCGAAAATCCGGTTTTGATTTCGATTTTGGCTTCTAATGATAATGAAAAAACATTAATCAAGATAAACGATTATTGCATCATATACTGCCCCTTTTCCAGTTGTCCACATTTGTTGCTCTGCAAAGCTCAGTTCCACGTGAAAATGACTAAAAGCATTTACTGTAAAGTAACTTTTGCTTTTAATTTTTAATAATATATATATATGACACACTCAGAATGTTTATGCATTTAACCCATCCAAGTCCACACAGAACAGTGAACACAAACCCGGAGAAGTGGGCAGCCATCCCTCCAACCACCTACAATCCCTTCAGGTGCCGGGGACGAACTCAGGTGCCGGGGACTGACCATTGAATCACAAATACAACTCTCTGACTTTGTTATTGTTATATAACTATTAAACTATAAACTATTAACTACTAAACGATTAAAATTACAAGCATAACCATATGTTCACACATATCGCCCATTACATTATTAGAACTAAATATGTACATCTATGTTCATTCATTTATTCATTCATTTTACTTCAGCTTAGTCCCTTTATTCATCAGGGGTCGCCACAATTGAATGAACCGCCAACTTATCCAGCATATGTTTTACGCAGCGGATGCCCTTCCAGCTGCAGCCCATCACTGAGAAACAACCATACATGCTCATTTACACACATACACTGCGAACAATTTTAGTTTGCCCAGTTCACCTGTACCGCATGTTTTTGGACTGTGGGGGAAACTTGAGCACCCAGAGGAAACCCACTCGAACAAGGAGAAAACATGCAAACTCCACACAGAAATGCCAACTGACCCAGCCGAGGCTCGAACCAGTGACCTTCTTACTGTAAGGCGATCATGGTTCCCACTATGCCACCATGATGCCATACATACATGCTAACAAATATTAAATATTAAACTATTAAAAAAACAAATAGGTAAAAATATGCTAACACATGTTAATTGACATTATAGAGTAATTTAGTAATCAAAGATATTAGAATTGTCAAATATGATCAAACGTATTCTCATATATCAACTATCAATTAATATATGTGTTATATATGTTAATTTATATGTTAATTAATGTATAATATATGTTCATTTATTGCCATATATGAGATTTCCATAAGGATTGGCCAGCAAAAACACGCAAGTTGTGAGAAATCAAGATACATTTTTTAACAGGTCAATATACTGTTTTTGCTTTGTTCTATGCAACAGTATTTTAGCATCTAATAACTGGGTTCTAGTCTGGAGAAGTCAGCAAAGGAACTACCCTAATCATTTTTATATGGAATTCTATCCTTTAGGGGTGACACGATGAAGTGGTTAGCAGTGGAAGCCTTTCCAACTGCAACCCATCATTAGGAAACATCCATACACACCCATTCACACACATTTACTACGGACAATTTAGCTTACCCAATTAACCTGTACCACATGTCTTTGATCTTGTGTGAAAAACCAGGGCAACCAGAGAAAACCCACGCAAGCGCGGAGAGAAAATGCAAACTACACACAGAAGCGCCAACTGACCCAGCCGGGCTCGAACCAGCTACCTTCTTGCTATGAGGCAATCATGCTACCCACTGTGCCACCATGCATACCATATTGCCTATATATTGCATGTATTTTAAGATATTTAAAAACAGAATTCATCATTTACTTTAACTAACAATAGCCATATCACAGATTTTATTGTATTTTTAAATTCAATGCACCCAGATAGCTAATTAAACCGAATCGATAGCATAATAAACGTAACCTAACCGAACCGTGAGACCAGTGTAGGTTCACTTTACACTGTTTACATTTATATTTCTTTCTTTAGCAGACACTTTTATCCAAAGTAATTTACAAAAGCCTTACAGTTAAGAAGTAAAAAATAAGCGATTCACCCTGAGGGGAAAAAAGGCTGTTCAGACAGAACACTAGAGCAGAGATGAAAGTGAGAAATAGTTAAATAACCTTTCGGTCTTAAGAGTGAGTATATTAAAAGATTCAATCAAGTCGTCACGGAGCAGATACATCTTTAGACACACAGATTTGTTCTTAGAAAGGCAGGACAGAAATATAACGTACCGCGGAATATGTGGGTATGTTTTTTAAAGAACAAAATGTCCAACTGGAAAAAGTTAATTTTAAACTTTAAATTAGTTGAAAGATGAAAGCTGGAAATCAATTTTAAGATTTGATTTGGTTTCATTTCATTAGTTAAAAAAAACTTACTGGAGTTTAATTCATCTGACGCAGCAAATTAAACTTTCCACCTGTGAAAAGACAGAACGATTCCAGTCGTCTACTATAACACATAATAAAAGATAAAAACATGCTGCTTTTCCTATTCATGAGAGCCTTAATCTCAAAATCCTGGTGTGAAGTAGATTACTAATAATATGCGTGTTAAATATCCGTTCTGTAAAGTGGGCACAGCTTCTCGTACTTTAATAGCAGACATATTTTAAACATGATGTCTTTTGCAGCTGTGTAACATGTGCAAAGCTAAATATATACTATACAATTTTAAAATACGATCAGCCGGGATGCTGTCATGAAACACAAATGTGTTTTATTCACCCTGAGTTCATCTTTTTTTCTTCCTTTTTATGTCCCGGCTTTAAAGATCTCCTGTCTCCTCTCATTTTCCATCAGCTCAAAAGAAACTTTTTAAATTGCCTAATTCGCTTTGTGCACATGGCAGCTTTTAAGAACTAAAAATATCACGGTGCTATTTCAGAACAGGCCAGGTGATGCGACATACTGAGGAACCAGATTCTTTAAACATGCTTCATCTGAACTGTACAAACTTTTTTTCCTATGGGTGTGTGAGTGTGCATTTGACACATTGAAAGTCTTTGAGGAGACAAATGAATTTAAACACATGCTGGACATATAAATTAAAAAAATAAATACCTGATGCTTAATGTCTTCTGGCAGGGTGTGACAGCGGAGGTTCGTGGGAAGCTCATTTCTACCTTAGAGTAAAAAATAAAACTTGGTTTAAGTTTAAGAAATAAGGTTACAGTCAGACAAAGTTATACAAGTAAGATTTACAGTCACACTTTGAGATATAATATCACAATTAAGACTGCAAGGTATATTGTTTCAGCATCGATATTGCACTGTGCGCATCCACAATAGTCACATCACAGGATGTGCGATGTTGAGATTATAATTAATTAAAAATCACAGTTCATTAGACATGATTTGTTGAGTCACTGTGAATTTCAATAAATAATCTATTACTGTGTTTTTTTTTGGGAAACACTTTCTTTTGATGGTCCACTTGTGTATTAGTACTGTCTGCTTAATATTAATTGATACTGCTCCTTGAACAAACAATTAACTGACTATAAGAAACTTTGCAAGTACATGTCAACTTACACTAACCTTAACCCTCACTCCAACCTCAAAGTCTACTTATAATATTATGAAAATAAGTTGGCATGCAGATGCAATAAAACTTAAATTCAACAAATGGAACATCAAAATAAAGTGTGATCTTTTTTTTTTTACTCAGATGTGTTTTTACGGCCCATGACTGTAAGATTTAAAACAAATTCAGACCATTTGGGAACAAGAACTTATAAAGTTTGTCGCTTAAGAAAGATTGATTGTGTTTAATTATTTGCCAAATGAAGACTATACAGTGTTATTTTTGATTTGATAATTGAATTTTTTTTACCTCAATGTTGTAATATTCCGCCAAAAACCATAAAGCACTGTTTATTTTGTTCTTATGTGTTTTAATTTTTTTATTTCATTTTGATATATATTTTTAGATATTTTATGCAGATAAACTTTCCTACAAAATCATCCAAATCTATTTAATAATGTAAATTCTTCTCAAACAGTTCCTAAAGTCATATTGTAAAATTATGTTTCATCCAAAATATCCAACCCAAGCTCATTCTGGGAACGTAGCCCCGCGGACGTTTCTGGAGACCGCGATTTACGTAGCCGGAGGTACGTAAAGGCCGCGTTTGGTTTTTTTCGAGCG